CTCATCCATCTCCTCCCGATTCCGCAGAATTTCCAGCTCTTGGATCAGCTCCAAGAACCTTCTCCTGGTTCCAGCTCCTCCGGAGGTGCCAAAACTGCCCCAAAACGGCCCCTCCCGGGTCCCCCCGGGGGTGGGGTCTCCAAAACGGGCCCCAAATGGACCAATTCTGCCTTTTTTTCCCCACAGGGTTTTGGTGCAGCCGCTGAACGGGCCCCAAACCCCCAGATTTCTCATTTTCCAGCCCATTTTGGTGCCTCTCCCCCTCCAGGGGACACCTGACCCAGCAAAGCCTCCAGGTGAGTTTTTCTTTTCATCCCCCCCCCGGGGGTTCCAAAAATCCTTGAATTTACCAAAATTGTCCCATTTTAAAATTTGTCCTATCATTTTAAAATAAAAATGGCTCCAAAATCAACCAGATTCGCCTTAAAAACCACCTGGATTTGGCCCCAAAATTAACCTGGGGGTTGTTCTGCCCAGCACACACCTGGGTGGGCATCAAACCCCACCCTGGGTCCTTCCCCCTGCCTCGGTTTCCCCCGTTTTAAGTAAAAAAACTCCAACCTATTTATTAAAAATATGCATTTATTTTTAATAATTGCATTTTCGTTTTCACCAAAACCCTCCTTTTTACACCCACTTTTGCTCCAGGAGGTGCTTGAAAAATTATAATTATGATTTAAAAGTTATTGAAAAAATAAGAAATACCCTTAAAAGTGCTTGAAAAATAATAAATGTGGCATAAAAGTGCTTTAAAAATAATAAATATTATTTAAAATGCTTGAAAAATAACAAATATTGTGCTTTAAAAGTAAAAAAATGTTTGATAAAGTGCTTGAAAAATAAAAAATACAGTTTAAAAGTGCTTTTAAAAGTATAAATATGCTTTTAAAGTGATTTAAAAATAACAAGTATGATTCAAAAGTGGTTTAAAGAGAATAAAATGTTTAAAAGTGCTTTAAAAAATAAATACCGTTTAAAAAGTAAATATGCTTTTAAAATGCTTAAAAAATAGTAAATGTGCTTTAAAATGTTGTAAAGTATTGAATATGCTTTAAAAATGGTTCAAAACCAATAAATGTTATTTTGAATGGTTTAAAAACAATACATTTGCTTTGAAAATAGTTTAAAATTACAAATGTTTTTAATATTATTTAAAACCATTAAATATTAATTTTAAATGCCTTTAAAAACAATTAAAATTCTTTAAACTTGTTTAAAATTATGAATATTATTTTAATGGCTTAAAACCAATATATATTAATTTGAAATATTTTGAAAGCCATAAAAATGCTTTTAAATTGTTTAAAAACAGTAAATATGACATTTAAGATGCCTTTACAAATAATAAGTATGCTTTTAAAATGGTTTTTAAATGAAATATATAATTTTTGAGTAGTTTAAAAAGAATAAATGCAAATATTAAATGGTTTAAAAACAAATAAAATACTTTTAAAATTATAAGTATGCTTTGTAAATGTTTTAAAACAATAAATATGCATTTTAAATTATAAATATTATTTTAAAACAGTTTAAAACCAATAAATACGAAATTGAAATGGTTTAAAAGCTTTTAAAATGCTTAGAAATGGTTTAAAAACACGAAGTATGACTTCAAAATGGCTAAAAAACAATAAATATGTTTAAAAATGGTTTCAAAATTATAAACGGTTTTTTAAAATGGTTGAATTGGGTAAAAGTGCTGCCAAAAAAAAGGGATTTTTAAGGCTTTGAAGACGTGACCTTTGACCCTTGGGGCCGTTTCCTCCGTTTCTTGTCGGTTTTTTGAATCTTCACGGGACGTTTTGGACGTTGCAGGGGCTGGGATGGTGCCCACCAGTGTCCTCCTGCTCCTGGCCTTGGGTAGGTGGAAAAAAAACCCCAAAAAACCCCAATATGAGGTTATTTGGCCTAAAAAAACCACCCCTGGGTGGCCCCGGGTTGACGTGTCGTCCCATCTTGTCCCCAGGAGCCGCCACCAGCGACCAAGCGGAGCGGGAGAAAGGTGAGGGCTGGGAACCTGAAGTTCTACCTTCATCCAGGGGTTTTCCACCCAAAATCGGGTCGCTTCTGCTGGAAGGTGGGAAGGAGGAGCTTCCTCCCCCTCCCTGGTGGTTTCTTTAACTCAAATGTTCCATTTTGACACTGTTTGTCCTCAAATCTTCTCAATATTCCCACACAGCACCAGGTGAGCGTTGGAATTGTGAAGTTTTACCTTAATCCAGGGGTCTTCCACCCAAAATGGGGTCACTTCTGCTGGAAGGTGGGAAGGAGGAGCTTCCTCCCCCTCCCTGGTGGTTTCTTCCACCCAAATGTTCCATTTTCACACCGTTTGTCCTCAAATCATTGTGCTTTGGAGGTCCCTCCTTGGCTACCATGGAGAAGTCAACCCCATTTTCAGGTCTCTTGAAGCCTTCTAAGAAACCAGGAAGCCCAAAACCGGGTGGTTTCACCCCCAAACTGGGTAGTTTCACCCCAAAATACACAAGATGGAGGTGGGGTGGAGTTTTTTGGGGGGGGGTCCCCAAGACGCGAACCTGTCTCATGCCACAGGGTCTCTGCTCTACCCCTATGGTCTGGACCAGGGTGACCAGAAGAACCCCAAGCTTGATGATGGGACATCACCCAAGCTCACCTTGACTGCGCCCTTCACCTTCTATGGCAAAGAGCACCAGAGCCTCTACGTACGTGACCTGAAGTTCCACCATTTTCCCTTTTCCCCCCCAGTTTGGTCACTTGTCCCCCCAGCAAAATCTACCTGTCCACGGGACTGACCTTTCAATGAGCTTGGTTGGTGGTTTCTTGATCCATCAGAGCATCTTCAGATGGTTGGTGGGTCTTGGGAGGAGACCCACTGGTGGAATGGTTGGGAGGCCCATGGTCAAACTGGGGTTTTCTGTCCCACCACCCACCCCATTTTGATGGATCTGTAGGTGCTCCAGGGACCTAAACCCTTCCAACATGGTTGGAGAGGTGGAGAAGTTGGTGGTAAGGCCAGACCTGGAGGTTGTGACCATCTCCATGGCACCACAACCAAGTCAGAGTGTTGACCAAGGGATGGGACTCCGAGCTTGGGGGCCACCACATGGTCACGTTAGTAGAGCTGGAGAAGTGGGTGGTGGGGCCACACCTGGAGCCTGTGGCCACAACCCAGTCAAGGTGTCGACCAGGTGATGGGACTCCCAGGTTGGTGACCACCAGGTTGGGGCTGACGTGGTGTCTCCTGCAGGTGAACAACAACGGCGTCATCTCCTTCGACGCCAAGGTCAGCCAGTACACCCCCGACCCCTTCCCATTGGCTGATGGACGCCCCTTTGTCACCCCGTACTGGGCGGACGTGGACAACGTGAGGGGGGGGGACGTCTTCTACCGCGAGACCACCGACCCGCCGCTGCTGGCCCGGGTCACCCAGGACATCAACCAGTACTTCCCCACCATGCCCTTCACTGCCACCTGGGCTTTCGTGGCCACCTGGGACCACGTGGCCTATTATGGCTCCATCTCTGAGAAGGTGAGGAGCACAGCCACGACCTGAAGGCCAGAGGAGGTCACAGTCATGGAATTTCATGCCTTAGGACCCATGTCTTGGCCTTGGGACCCACTTGTTGTCCTCATGACCCATTTGTGGGACCTGACACCCTTCCCTTGACCTTACAATTAATCTGTTGGTTTTGGTGACCCCCTCATTGGCCTTGGCACCCTACTGGTTGGTCTCATGACCCACTTGTGGGCCTGACAACCCATTTCTTGGCCTTTGTGACCCCTGCCTTGGCCTTCACACTCCATCCATGGTCTCCCTGACCCATTTGTTGGCCTTCATAACCCATCCATTGCTTTCTACCACCCCTGCATTTGCCTTCACAACCTTTGAGGTGGCCACGTGTTCTCCATGTTGGAAACCAGCCTTTCCATGTCCCTGTTCCTCTTGGCCACCTCCTGTGGAGCAAGAGGCTGTGGTAGAGCTCCAAAAGTACTTGTCTGAAGGTAGACACCAAAACCAACCAACCAACAGGATGGGCCATGCCTGACCAAGGTGCCTTCCTTGCCCACCTCCCATCCATACCTTCTTATCATGGTGCCATCTCCTCCTTCCTGCAGGGCAACACCTTCCAAGCCCTCCTGACCAGCGACACCAAGACATCCTTCATCATCCTCAACTACTGGGACATCCAGTGGACCACGGGGGAGGCCAGTGGTGGGGACGCTGAAACGGGGCTTGGAGGAACCCCAGCCCATGTAGGTGGGGCTGAAGGAGAAGCTGAGGGAAAAGGGGTGGAGGGAGGACAGGGGAGGAGGTTGACCATGGATGGGTTTCCTGGGACAAGATCACAAGGTAGGACTTCAGCCTGCCATGTTTCTGGGCAGAACGACACCAAAGGTAGGACTTTGGCCCATAGTTGGTTGTGTAGAAGACAATGCTGAGGAGAGGTTGGCCAGCACAATGTTCATCCAGAGCTGGAAGTTGGTCTGTGCCATCCTGGGCTGGGGTGGGACAACGAGACCAACAGTAGGATGGGGCCCACATGTTTGGGGGGGAAACCTTCACTCATGGCAGGAGGTTGTCCCAGACCATCTTCTGGGGATGATGATGAAGACTGGAGGTTGTTCCATAAGGTTCTGGGTAGAAAACACCAGGTTCACTCATGGTAGGAGGTCCCAGAACACCTGAGGACAATGATGATGAAGGTTGACCCATAATGCTTTTGGGGGAAACCACCAGGCTCACTCATGGTAGGAGGTTGGCCCACACCATCTACTGGGGATGCTGATGGAGGTTGGAGGTTTCCCCACAACTTCCTTTGATGACAACAAGGTTGGAGGTTGACCCATAACGTTTTTGAGACCCACCACCAGCTTCACTGAAGATCAGAGGTTGGCCTGGAATGTATCTGGGGGACACCAGCAGCAGGAGGTTGTCCAGGTGGCCCACCCCTTGGGTGAGGTGAGAACATCTGGAACCTCCATTTCGGTCCCGTTTCTAGGCTGGTTTCAACAGTGGAGATGAAACCAACTTCTACAACATCCCCGGCTCCCAGAGCGACGCCATCCTCAACATCACCCAGACCTCCAATGTCCACTTCCCAGGGCGCTGGGTCTTCCAGGTGGACAACTTCAAGGTGACGGGAGTGCCCACCCAACCCCCCGGGGTGCTGGACATCAATAACTGCTGGTTGTGAGGTGGGTTTTTTTGGGGGTGGAAACCTTGGAAAAAACCCCCACCCCAAGGACTTGGGGAACATCTTGAGATCTTGGGTTCTTCTCGTAGGTGGATCCAGACGTGGGGGCAGAGGGACCATCCGTGTTGTCCCCGTCACACGTGGAGGACAAGGGGGCAATAAACCAGAGCAATAAACCCACAGCTGAGACCTGGTGGCTCCTGTGACATCATTTCCCCTCCAGTGCCCGGAGCAGATTTTGGGGCAAAACCAACAGAAATTAATCGTTTTTATAATTATTTAATTGAAATGTATTAATTTCATGAAATAATTAATAATTAATTCTTCCCCCTGCAAAACAAACGTGGGGGGGGGTGGGTTCATACACACATTTATGGGCCTTTTTCCCATTTATATGCTCAAAATTATGAGGTTTTTCCTAGGGGGAGAGAAGAGAGAAAGGCTTAAAAATTGGGGGAAAGAACCAAAAAAAGGGGGATGGCCCAAAAAAGGGGAGAAAGGCCCCCAAAAATGGAGGGAAGGCCACAAACTCTGAGGGAAAAGGCCCCCCAAAAGAAGAAAAGTGCCCAAAAAATGGGAGAAGGCCCAAAAACGTAGGAGAAAAGGCCTAAAAAAGGGGGGGAAGTCTCAAAAAAGGGGGGGAGGGCCAAAAATATGAGGGGAAAACTTTATGATTTTTTGCCACTTTGTGCACAAATTGATCCATTTTTGGCCTCCAGGAACACAAAGTTCTGGGTTTGGGCCTTTTTTGGGCACAAAATTTTGATTTTTTTTCTTTATTTGTGCATAAATATATTATTTTGGGCCTTATTTGTGCAAAAAGCTATGATTGTTGGCCTTATTTGTGCACAAGTTGATGATTTTTCCCCTCCATGCCCATAAATTGATCAATTTTTTGCCCACTAGGAGCAAAAAGTTCTGATTTTTGGCTTTTTTTGGGGCACAAAATTCTGATTTTTGGCCTTCTGGGGGCTTAAATTTAGGATTTTTTGCTTTATTTATACACAAAATTATTATTTTTCCCTTTTGTGTCCCTAAATTGATCCATTTTTTGCCCTCTGGGACCATAAAATTCTGATTTTTGGCCAGTTTTGGGCAGAACATTCTGATTTTTTGCCTTATTTGACCATAAGTTTGTGCACATGGAGGATGAAGGCCACACATGGACATGACACATGTGAAGGACACGTGCACACAGCACATGTGGATATGACGTGTGCACACAACACGCTCCAACATGCCACAACATGCTCTGACATGGCACAACACACACACATAACTTGGCACAAACAGCCCCAAAACACCCCCCCAACATGCTCTGACATGACACAAAACGGCACAAACAGCCCCAAAAACGCCCCCAGAACGTGCTCTGACAGGACACACACATGCCCACAACATGCAACACAGAATTTGGCACAAACAGACCCCCAAAGTGTCCCCCCACATGCCCTGACATGCCACAACATGCTCCAACATGTCAGAAAACATCCAGATCATCCAACTTCCCACAAACACCCCAAAACCATCGCACCCACAGCTCCCTCTGACATGCCACAACATGCTCCAACATGCCACAGCACATGCCACAACATGTTCCAACATGCCACAGCACACGCCACAACACGCTCTGACATGCCACAACCCCC